CTACTATAGACCACAAAGCTACTCTCCATGTCATTAACGTTGCATCTAGCCAAGGTTCTAGCATGATCAGGTACAGCAAAAGCTTAAATTATCTTGAGTCGGGGAGAATTTAAAACTTGGAAAAGAAGGGCCCTCACTCTTAGACTTGATGCAACTCAAAGTCGCCTCTTCTAAGCTCGAGCACTGGGTTCTATAGCCTCATCCAGCAATTGTAAAGTTTCCTTACCGATGCACTTTACTTTTCCCTTGTCTGCAGTCTTTTTTCCTTTTTAGGGCACAAAAGACAACCCCTTATCACTCCCAATCGTGGGCGCGGGTATCGAATCCAAAGCTCCTGTAAGTTGAAGTCCAAATTTGCATGTGGACAATGAAGTTTATCAAACTTGGAAAACAATGAACAAAGATGTATGTAAATGTAAAACTAAAAAAATAAACGAAAGCCTATAAGAGCAGAAAGAAACCCCTCATCATTCTCAAACTCGGGTTGTGAGTTCAAAGCTTCAACCAAGTTGAAGTCCATACACGTATGTACACATTAAAGTTTATTGTGCTCGAAGAACAAGAAGTGAAAATACGTGCAAGTATAAAAGTTAAAGCAATAAATAAGAGCCTACCAATAGGTTGACCGTTCCCCAATATCAACATCTTCATCACGATCAAAACTGAGGATAAGAGGGATACAAGAGGTAGTATGTGGGTCAATTATCATATTTATTTTCTCAAGAAAGGAGTAAGCTCGACATGACTGTTGAAGAGATGAGTTTAAGGATGTCTAGTATTGATTGAGAATTAGCCTTTGGAAGGTCGAATAAAGAAATATCGAGACTTTCATCCACTGCTTTACTTCGACAAATGTATAAGAAATATAGTGTCTTCCTTTACGCATTGGAATTTATTTGATTAGGAGCAAGGTAGAACTCATTGAAGATTGAAATAAAGAAATGATGGATAGGAAATATAAAACTTCCATCCATATTATCCTTGAACATGGTGACGTCATGGGGATCGAACTCGAGAAGTTCAACGTTGGATTTGGGACCCTATATACATAATCGTCGACTCAGGCTAACTTTCAAACATTTTTTCAATTTAGCTGAAGAATTATAAGAACTAGACTCTTGTGGAATTCTAATAACTACAACCTCGCCCTCAGATCCCGTCCAATTTCAAGACTTTGGTATGGAGACTTAGAAGAGCAAATATGATTTTTTAGGAGAACGTGGTTTAAAGAAATAAGAATCAATATAATGTGTCGGGCTATCAACAAACTAAGGAGAATGACAACCCCATGAGGGGAGTTGGTCAACCAACCAACTAAGGGGATGGCCGATCGACCATCATTGTTGCTGGTTGATCGGTCCATTCAACGATAGGTCGGTCGAGCCGCTCCCTCTTTCATTTTCAATTTTGTTTGAGGAAAATGATAAAATTGTCTTGTATACTTTGATGGAATGAAACTAAAGACTAAATATTTTTAATAGAAAGAGAGTCTAAGGAAGATATTACCTTAAATGTGAGGAGATTTGAGGAGCGGCTTGGGTTCATAAAGGGAGAAAAAATAAAAAGGAAAACACCTTCTCCTTTAGATGGACCCAACCTTTAAACCCCTCCCCCCCCTCGCCAAATGCTAACCCACTCATGGGGTGCCAAGTGCACTAGGCTACTAGACCTATTGCACTTCGCCATTTGGCACGATCAATTCACTTATGCGCTACCAAATGTCAATATATAGTAGAACAAAAAAATGGAGTTTACAAGTGAGTGTGCTACCCCTTAACGATAACCATCAATAAGAGACAAAAAAGGCTAATGATGCTATATGATATGGGAAGCGAACTACGAAGGCCAATCAAGTGAAGGCAATAGCCTGACTATTGCTATGCTAACTCAATTATTGCTAACTTAGTTCGTCTACCACTATGCTAGCCTGACTAGTACTATGTTAGTCCATCTACTAATATGCTTGATCGTCACAGCTATGCAAGTTCGTCTACCATTATGTTAGCCTGACAAGCACTGTAAAAGATAGACTATTATAACTTCCAATTGTCTGAACATCCTTTTAATTAATTGAAAACCGCCTAATGGTTATCATGGGTCACTCTTAGTAGCTCAGTTGATGGATGTTGATCACTAAGTACATTGGTAAAAATCGTCTGGTGAGTGGACGATTTTCACCATACATGTGGCCAAAAACCACCTAGCGATTATATGATTTTGAATGCCTATAAATGCTACAAAGACGTGTTAGGTAGATCTTTTTCACAACACATTTTTGGCTTCCTCTCTTTTTTCCTAAGTCACCACATAAATAATCCATTTTACTAATTCTTACATCAAAGGTACAACGAGGGAGAAAGCCTCAACCTCTTTTATAGGTGTTCATTTATCACAAGAGTAGCAGAAGCAGCCTTGCTCCGCCCAGGAAGTCCAAAGGTCATTTCTTAACTACTTTACTCATAATAAGCATGTGGTTTGAGATAAATGGGTCTACAAAATTAAAAGGAAACAAGGTGATAGTGTGTAGAGATTCAAAGCAAGACTGGTAGATAATTAAAGGAGTTTAGTTGACTTTTTCATCAATAATAAATCCAACTACCATACAATTGATTTTAACAATAGTAGTCACATTTAATTGGCCAATTCGGCAATTGAATGTATCAAATGCTTTCCTCCATGGTATTCTGGATGAAGAAGCGTATATGGAGCAAACTAGGGAATTTATTGATAAAAATATATCGAATTTTGACTGCATATGTATTGATGATGGGTTATTATATACTCATTATCCATATCTTTATATGTTTTTCGTGATTCCAATTGGGCAGGGTCTCCATATGTAGAAAATCTACAAGTGAATATGGTGTGTTTCTTGGCCTAAATCTTATATCTTGGAGTGCAATAAAGCAAGATGTAGTCTCAAAATCCAATACAAAAGCTGACTTCAGATCTATGACATTGACTACTGCCGAGTTATATTGGCTCTAGATGCTACTGCGAGAACTGCAATTTCATTATATTCCCCACTAGTCCTCTAGTAAGATAACAAAAGTGCTATTGCTTTGGAGTCAAATCCAATGTTTCATATTAGGACAAAACATGTGGAGGCCGACTATCATTTTATCAGAGAAAGAGTGGTGAACAATGGCAAACAAGTAAGACATATTTCTACTCAAGATCAAGTGGCAGATGTATTTATCAAGTGCTAGACCATAATGTGTTTCAACTATTATCCATTTGCGGGAGTGTTAGACTATCTGACATTGTCAAAAGTCTTTAGGCTCTCGAACCCCTGTACAACAAATTCAGTTGTAATCCTCCTCATCTCTATTTGTAATCCTCCTCTCTCTCTCAATTCCCTCGACTCTCTCTCTCTCTCTCTCTCTCTCTCTCTCTCTCTCTATTATCGCCTCTCTCTTTCTCTCTATTATCGCCTGAATAGTGCAACCTCGCACCACTACTCATCTCTACGGTCACATCGTTCTCTTCTATTGAAGCGGCATTGCAGTCGCGCCCCATATCTCCTATCATTCGTCAATGCGAGGGTCGTCGCTCATAACCAGCGTAGAAGAGGATGTGTCGTCGGGCACAGCTTGTAGAGGTATTGCGTCGTCATTGTTTGTGATTTGTATCGATTTGTATACCAGCATCGACCATTGTTTGCGATTTGTTGCTTGTGGCTGGCATGGTTTGATATGATTTTTTGGGGTGATTTTTTTGTATGTGAATGATGGCTACCAAGCCAGATCTTGTTTGTTTTGTTGGTTATTAGTAGCGGTGACGATTTCCATGGTTTGGTGAGGTTGGGGGTATTTTATTGGTACTGGTGTTGGTGGATCTCGTGTTGCTAGTGGTAGATCTAGAGCCGGTGGTGATAGTCTTCGTGGCGGTGGTACAAAGGTTGTGATAGTGGGTGGAATGGTGCTGATGGATCTCGTGCTGGTGGTGGTGATGAATAAGGCAGTGGTGCAAAGGTACTGTGGTGGTCGTAGCGATCATGGCAGTTTGGTTGATTTTGTGACAAATAATTGGATCCGTGACCTAAAAATTGTGATTGTGACTCACAATTTGGGAGGCACAATTGGTCGCGGCGATGGTCGTGGTGGTTTGGTTGATTTGTGACTCACAATTGGATACGTGACCAGAAAATTGTGACTGCAAATCGAAAGTGTTGGAGGTGGTCACAAATTATTTGGTTGACTGTTATTATTAAATTAATTAATCTGTGACCAATGAAAAAGATAAATTGTGACCTGAAAATACTTTGTGACCTAAAAAATTATTAATCTCTGACCGATAATTTGATAATTTGTGACTGTCTAATAAATTGTGACTTGTAATATTTGTGATTTGTGATCAATAAATAAATTGTGACTTATAAACTTTTTAATTTATGACAGATGAACAAACTGTGGCTTATAAAATTTTTGAATTGTGACCATAAAATAATTTGCGACATAAAATTTGTGATTTGTAACCAAATTATATAAATATGTGACTTCAATATATTTAATTACTAAAATAATTAATTAATTAAATTATAAATAATTTTTAATGAAAATCTGATTTTTGAAATTTAAAACTTATTTTCTTGTTTTTGAAATGTGCCATAATTAATTTTTTACTTATGAAATTTTTCCTTGATTGTAACTCTCTTATTTTACTTCTTAGGGGACTTCAGGTGATTGTGCTATTTTTGAAATGTAAAGTTTGGTATTCAAGCCGATCACTTTCAACCCATTTATCATTTTGTATACACCGGTAACCCAAAATTTTATCGCTTCATTTGTCCTATGTCTTAAAAGGGTTAATCAGCTTGGACAGGGCCTTACCCCATAGCACAACCCGTCTTAAAATTCTGTCACCATTCAGTCTAGTATGGTCATTGCAGTGAGTTGAACCTAGACTTCATTACGTCCAAGTAAATAAATCTAAATTCACATAAATAAATCAAAAAAAATCAAAAATCAAAAAATCAAAATTCACATAAAAACAAGAAACACCTAAACAAATCAAAATGATTGGAACATTTTGTTTTGTCCGATTATCTCAAGAATCCCACGACACACTAGAAAAGAAGAAAAATGTGTAACAGATATTGATAATCAAAGATGACTCAAAATTTCTTCACAGAAATCAAGATTCCTCAGCAGAAAATCTTTGATGGGCTTGTTTTTCCCAAAGTATTATCTCCCGGCTCGAGAAATTCAGTAGAATTTCATAGTTTTACTGACGCCATTAAAGATCAAAAGCCATGGCTAGACTCTGTTCTGCATCAACACGGCGCTATTCTTTTTAGGGGTTTTTCAGTACCCACTGCTGCTGACTTCAACGACGTCGTTGACGCGTTTGGATACGAGGAATTGCCGTATGTGGGCGGCGCTGCTCCGAGGACTAACGTTGTTGGCCGAGTTTTCACTGCCAATGAATCCCCGCCAGACCAAAAAATCCCTTTCCATCACGAGATGGCTCAGGTCAGTTTGATTTTGTTTTTCTTAATGTTGCTCTTGTAATTGAGATTACAGCTGAGAAATTACAATCCTTAGCGTAATTTGATGCTTTTTCTTCGTTTTATATGCATATGTTTGGGGTACTATTCCATAATCTTGTAATAGTAGTCTATAATTCTTGAATTCGTGTATATATAAGTGGGATATAGTTAAATTTGCACAATGGATTTGTAAAATTTGAGAAATTGGCTGCATTTAATCAATATCTGGAAATTTAGCTGCAGTGTTGATTGTTTTATCACAAATTATTCCTAATCAAAGGCTGGTTCGTATTGAAAATGCGGAGGAGGCCGAGTTCTTAGATTTCAGTAACTTAAATTCGAATAACAAAATCATATGAATCTTTTCAGTATATGCCCTTCATCTACAGTTTTGGTTCGAACTAATTCATTGAAACAAATAGTTCATGGCAAGAAAATTGAGTTATTTGATGGTAGTGGTTAAAAATGGGACCATGACAATTATCTCTGATTTCCCTTCATTATTTACTTTGTGAGTTTTGCTGCAATTCACATGGTGTACTCCTACATGCTATTGCTAGCTTGTTTGTTTAGAATGGGCTCAGATCTAAGATGTTTGAGTTGTAAGATTGAAGAAATAGAGTTTCATTAGTTAAGTTTTTTTATTTTAGAAGTAGATTATACGGACAGATCATCTAAAAACAATATGTTGCAAAGATTTTTACATAAATTTTACGATATATGATAGTTATGGAAATGATTGCGTGAATCCATCTTTTATCAATGCTGAATTGATTGGGAAATTAGTAGGTAAATTTTATGCCTTCGACTTTATTCATTGGTCATTCACTCTCCATGTTGACCTACAACTTGAACTGGACTTCACTGCGTGTCTGCAACAGGTTCCCGAGTATCCTTCCAAACTGTTTTTCTTTTGTGAAGTGGAGCCTGTTAATGGGGGAGAAACCCCTATTGTTCTAAGTCATGTTGTCTATGAGAAGATGAAAGAGAATTACCTGGACTTTGTTCAAAAATTGGAAGAGCATGGATTAATATATACTCGAGTACTGGGAGAAGAGGACGACCCTTCATCCCCAATTGGCCGTGGGTGGAAGTCGACGTTCTTGACTAAAGAGAAGAGTGTGGCCGAGGAAAGGTTTGTACTCTTCACCTATTTATCTTAGAATTGTTCCATTTTGGTGACTTGTACTTTTGCTGTGTTTAGCTTGGTTTTAGACTTTCAGAAAAAACCTTTTCAATGGCAAACTTGTATTGAATTTTCTTGTTACTAGAACAAAAGACAACATTCATTAATCATTCCAATCTACTTTTTATTTCCTTTTCTATCATTGCATTATCGTGTGCATAATGGGTTTCTCTGTTTGCAAACTTTGGTTGCCGGTCCAGACAACTATAGGTCACTAAATTCTTAAAGTGTTTTACCTGAAAATAGTCAAATAATGGAAGACTAACTGAACACTTATCAGGGCTGCTAAGTTAAACATGAAGCTGGAATGGACGGAGGATGGAGTGAAAACCATAATGGGCCCTATCCCAGCAATTAAATTCGACAAAACAAGACAGCGCAAGATTTGGTTCAACAGCATGGTTGCTGCTTATACCGGCTGGGAAGATGCACGAAATGATCCGGTCAAGGCAGTCACTTTTGGGGATGGAAAACCATTACCATCTCATATTATCTACGACTGTCTAAGAATCTTAGAAGACGAAAGTGTTGTCATACCATGGAAGGAAGGAGATGTGTTATTGATCGATAATTTGGCTGTTCTTCACTCTCGAAGGCCATTCTCTTCTCCTCGACGCGTCTTGGCTTCACTTTGCAAGTAAGAGAAGTTCTCTGGCAATAGCTTGCTGAATCTTTGTATCTAAATAACGCTTTCTAAGTCTTAATTATAATAATTTTTCCTTCAGTTCTGTTCAAGCACAATTATCATATGCCGTGGAAAAATATTTGACCTGTACCCCGTATATATGAAATAAAAGTTTCTGTATGTGGTGCGAGGCTTGAGGTTTTCATCAGGTATCTTATAATTTGCATTTGAATACCATCTTAACATGTAGAAATTTTCAATTTTTAGGAAGAAATAGGACTGACTACTCAACATTCAAAATTGAAATTTCTACTCCTTTCCTATTTAAAGTTGTAGGCATGTAGCCTTGTTGGTGACTTTTGAGTGTTGAGAATTAAGTGACAGTATCACGCTGGTGTGTGATAGTTTTGGGAATAGCCCATGACATAAACATTAGCATGACCTCCATGGTACACACGTCGAATGAATGTGTCTACGATCCTACTTGGTATGTAGATGGTAAAACTATTCCGATTGTAATAGTTCGTACGAATAAGTCTCATAGCAAGCAATGAGAATGTCAAGAAAATCTCGATATTCACTTTATAATGTGTCCAATAAGTTGCTTGAACTTGAATTATAAGATCACCTAACAAATGAGTATCATTTGTCAATTCTTGATAATAAGGTAAAATTGACGTGTTCTAGTTAGAAACTTGTTAAATACTGAAGCACTCTTGGTGCAGTTACTAAGAGTGCAAGTGGTGCCATATTTTTCACGTGTCATAAAATTTTAAATTTTTTTTGAACGGTTACCAAATTTATCAAATTGTTATCCCATTAGCTATTAAACTTTAAAAGTTTCTCAAATGGTCACCAAATTTATAAAATCGTTATCCTTTTGGTCATGAACTTTAGAAGTTTTTCGAATAATCATCGAACTTATAAATTGTTATCCCCAGCCATCACTCAGTAACTCACCATTAGAAAATTGATGAACTTACTAATGTGACAAATGAAAATGCTGATATGGCACATTATTGTTATTAATTCACGACAAACCAATCAAAAACGTGCTTCCATATATTAAAAGCACATATAAAAAATGTTCATAAATTTTAACCTTTGCTTGTCTTCTTTTTGCTTAGATGTACTTTCATTTATCCATGTTTGAGCTCCATTATTTTCAAAATTTATTTTAAATCACACATTCTTCCATAAAATAAAATTACACGTAAACTTAAATTTTTTTATTATCTTTCAACTACATATTATCCAAAAAATCATTGTTACAAAATACATTTTCTGTTTATTCCCATTGATCGCATTTTTTATAAAGCACGTATTGACTAATTTATCTTCAACTAATGACCAATCATCGTGATCATTTGCCACGTAAATGAGTCCATTGAATTTTTAATGGTAAGTTATCGTAAGATGAATGTAATAACGATTTGATAAATTCAGTGACCATTCGTATAACTTTTAAAGTTAATGATCAACAGGATAACAATTTAACAAATTCGATAATCATCTGAAGAAACTTTTAAAGTTTAATGACAGTGAGATAACAATTTGCTAAGTTCGATTACCATTAGAAAAACTATTAAAACCTAATGGTCAATAATTAGATACTGTGTAAAGTTTAATGACCATTTGAAATGTTAACCTGAACATTCTTGTCTCGAGTTTAAGCAGAGAAATCAAGCCTTTAGTGGTGCCACCAAACCCACTTCCCTGTATTTCTTGATCTTTGGTGTACGGTGCCACCAATAAATTAATTTTTCCACTATGGATTTCGTTCCAGTGGAAGAACCTAAACCATTATCTAGGCCTTTTATGATACCATCCATGAAGTATATATTTTAACTTCAAGATCACTGTGAAGAATATTAGAACACTTTTAAAATGAATTTTATGACAATTGTTGTATGATGAAATCAAGAATCCCAAGCCAATCCAAGCCAAACTATGGGCGGATGGAGAGGGGGCTGGGCTCAACACTTCTAAAGTGAATTTTAAGACAATTGTTGTATGATGAAATCAAGAGTCACAAGCCAATCTAAGCCAAATTAACGAGTGTCTGAAAATATATTCTTGACCCACTTTGTCATGAGTATCATGAGTTTAACCTTTTAAATTGAATCTAGTGAGCATAGAGCATTTTTTATGGTATAAGCTTATTGAAAAAAAAAAATTTAACTTCAACCCACCCTAACAAATCTTTCTGGTTCCACCCCTGCAAACTACTCTTTAAGGTGAGCAGAATTTAGAATCTATACGATGCTATAAGAACGGTATAAATTTTCACGTCAAATATCTATGTCGTATGAAGCCCCTCTGTCCAGTGGCGGACGCAGACATTTTAGACTAGGGGGTCAGTAACGAACTTTTAAAAAAGTGATGAAAAAATTAAAATAAGATATATCTTATTACAATTGCTCTCTACGTGTTCTCATACTTTGATAACGTTCAATAATTACATCATTTTCAATCTTATCAAAAACATCCTTCTCAATATATGCAATCAAACTATCATTCAACCATTGATCTCCAATTCGATTGCGCAGACGATTTTTGACGTAAGTCATCGCAGAAAATGCTCTTTCGACTGTAGCAGTAGCCACGGGAAGAACTAAGGTTAGTGTCACAAGTTTGTAGACTAATGGATACACTTCATGTTTATTCTTCACAACCAATTTCTGTGCAAGATCACTAATGCCTTGTAATTCTTCAAAGTCTTCAGAAGTGCGCATATCAATAATATACGTATCTAGTTGATCATCAAGTTCTAGAATATCTGCTGCATCAAAATCTACCGGATAATACTGACATAGTCGAATCAATTTGATCTTGTCAAAAGCAGCAAATGAATTATTTGGAGATAAACATGCAACACAAATAAGCAAGTCACTATTTGCTTCAGAAAAACGATCATTCAACTCTTGAAGTTGCATATCAATGACGGCATAAAACATTTCCACACGAAAATGATGCAAATTTGTCACTGTCTCACGCCGTGAACGACCTACAGTTATGAACATATCATCCATATCGGGAACATTGATCTTGTGAGTTTCACAAAACGAACAAACCACTCCCAAAAAAGAATCCCATCCATCATCTCTCATGGTTTGGAGTTGTGTTTTACATATTTGCACCAATTTCGTAGCATTAACAATATCTTGATCTTTTCTTTGTAATGCTTTTGACAATTCGTTTGAAATCCCTAAAATCTTTTTCATGAGATATAGATTAAATGCAAATTCAAATCTTAACATCAACTCCAATGACATGCATGCATCACCTCTTGTTCCGGTACTTGTAGAATCAGTAGCAATCATCTCAATGACTTCGACTATAGTTGAAAACATGGTAATCAAGTTAATTAAACAACTATAGTGAGAGCCCCAACGTGTATCCCCAGGACGCTGAAGAGTAATTTCTTGATTGAGACCTCGTCCGCTTGATATTTCACCAATACTGAGTGATTCAAGAATTTTCAATCTTTGATTCTCTCGAATAAGATCACTCCGTTTAGCTGATCCTCCAACAATATTCACCAATCTATGTACTCTAGTTAAGAAAGTTTCAATCTTCGGATGTTTCTGTGCCACGGCTACAAGAGCTAATTGAAGTTGATGAGCAAAGCAATGAATATAGTAAGCACTTGGATTTTCTTTCAAAATAAGTGCTTTGAGGCCATTATACTCACCTCGCATGTTACTAGCTCCATCATATCCCTGGTCTCTCAAATTAGATATGCTTAAACTATGCGTTGAGAATAATTGATCAATTGCAGCCTTAAGTGAGGCAGCTGTGGTATTCAAAACATGAATGACACCAATAAAATGTTCCAATATACACCCATTCTTCACATAACAAATGACAACTGACATTTGCTCTTTCACAGAAATGTCTCGAGATTCATAAACTAAAATTAAGAAGAAACTATCACGAACATTTTCAATAATCACATGCAGACATTCAGAAGCAATAGCACTTACAATATCTTTTTGCACTCTTGGTGATGTTAATTTCAAATTCTCAAGTGCATTTGTCAAAGCAACGGCCTTAATCTCAGGATTATGATCACACAACCAATGCAATAGTTCAAGAAAGTTTCCTTGATTGTTTGAATCTTCATATTCATCATGTCCACGAAATGCCATCCTTTGTCGTAGAAGAAATCGAACACAATCAATTGAAGCATTTAATCGGATTCGATAATTTGTTCGAGCTTGATGCGATTGTTTAACGAGACAAGATCTAATACTTTGTTCTTGATTCTTGAACAATTCATATTTGACCCGAGCTTGATTGTGTGCACTACTTGAAGCCCCAACGTGTTTTCTTATATATTCTTTCTTTTTCCAATTTGAGAATCCACCTTTAACAAATGAACCACCATTCAAACCGAAAAGATAACAATAAAAGCAAAAAACTGCATCATTTGCTATACTGTATTCCAACCAAGTGGGATGCTCATTATACCACGAAACACAAAATCGTCGGTCTATTTTACCTATTCTTGTGGGTGGAAATATATGATTGCGAGGCTGACAAGGACCTCTTTGCATATATGCTCTTCGAATCACATCTCGAATATTAATATCATAATTTTGTATTGGAACTCTCAATCCAGGATCAGAGGGAAGCTGTGCAACATCAACATCCCCAACATCTCCACTATTTCCAACATCTCCAATATCCTCAACATTTCCAACGTCACCAATACCCCCAAATCCAACATCAACATCTCCAACCTCTCCAATACCCCCAACGTCTCCAACATCTCCAACATCAACATCTCCAACATCAACATCTCCAACATCAACATCTCCAACATCAACATCTCCAACATCAACATCTCCAACATCAACATCTCCAACATCAACATCTCCAACATCAACATCTCCAACATCAACATCTCCAACATCAACATCTCCAACATCAACATCTCCAATACCCCCAACATCAACATCTCGAACATCGTTTTCATCCCTTTTCTTTCGAACATTCCTTTCATCAATATTTTGTTCATCACAGGAAATCGCAGATGTACGTTTAAAGTATTTTTCCATAACTGAAACAAACCAAAAATGAAAAATCAACATGATTAGAAATGCCTAAATCAGTTTATACTATGTCATACCTAATTTCCTACCAAAAGTCAGACAATTTCAAATTTTCAATCTTCCCAATTCCAAATCAAGATTATCAATTTACATATAAATAAGTAACAAACCCAAAATCAGAAATTGGTCAATTTCCTAAATCAAAGCCCTAAATCAGAATTCAGAAATCCCTAAATTACATTTATTGGGCAGGAAACTGAACAGGAATCATAATTGATTAATTGTATTGTACATAAATCCAATTCAAGAAATAGAAGTAACTAACACTCTAATAGCAGAGAGGCAGGCAGGCGGCAGCAAAGCAGGTTAACTGGCTAAGCACTAAGCAATAAAAAATATGCAAAGCAGGTAAAGCTTCTAACCTTCAACTTTCAAGTCAGTAAAAATGGTAAGCCCGGGTCCGGCGTCGATTGTTGCAGTCGCATGGAGGCAGCCAGGCAGGTCAGGCGCGAAGGCGAAGCGGTCCAGGTGGGGGTGGCCGACTGCTTAGGAAAGAGTAAGTCTGTGAATCTGTAGAAGCAAGGAACTGGTGGTCGGCGGTGGGAAGGAGTGCACTGTGCTGTCTGTGCAAGAGCCGGGCTGCCGCAGTGCCGCTGCCGGAGAGTGAGAGACGAGAGTCGAGTGAGAGAGAGAGAAATCGTTGTCTGCCAAGCAGGGAAGAAATGTTGGGTTTGTGAGTTGTGACCTTTGTCTATTTTAATTTTGACCTAATATTTAAAAAAAAAAATCCTAAAAACTGGGGGGTCAATTAACCCTGCATGCCCCCCCCCGGTCCGCCAGTGCCTCTGTCTATAACGTGAATAATTAATGTGTGTTACTATTTATATGTCAAATATATTTAGCAAGTTTTGAATTTTTATTTATTTATTTTTTTTTTTTTGAGGCTAAGAAAATAATGCATATACTGTATTATATTTCAGATTATGCTAGAAGAAATGATAGATTGTAGTAAGATGAATATACGTTCGTGTTTATCGTAAAAGTATCATTAATGCATTTTTATACGAATGTCTATCGTACCAACGATATCTTGCATCATTTGGTGCAAAAAATGGTGTAATGAATAGTGTTGCACCATATTTGATGCTTTTCATCAAAATAGTGCAAAGTTTGGTATTGCATAATTGCATTGGTAATGGTGCAACCGTTGGAGATGTCCTAAGACTCTGCTGATCAAGTAAGTTTCAATTGTATTTTATAGATAAATTAAATCATATGTACATATCAAATACGGCAATAATATAACAAAGAAAATGACTATTTATGTACGATTATAAGAAGTAACGTGACAATTTAAGACTTCAAAATTTAGAAAAAAATGAAATTAGCTTTATCCTGAGGATTTGTGACACGTGCAACTGTGCAAGACAAAATTCATGCTGAAGAAATACAAAATCGGACTTTTAGATTGACGAAACTAAAAATTCTATTATCATCTGAAAATTGAAATTCATTTATAGCAATCTTAATTATTCTCAAATTGTTCATTTCATTTATTTTACTTATACATTGGAACAAGTCCATATTTAGACACTTCTCTCCGATTTGAACTCAAACTGTCCACTTTCAACTTTTACTAGCTTAGAATTAAAGCCGAAGGTTAATGGTTCACTAAAGTTCAATATAACATTGGATCCATAAGGTATTACACTCAACAAAATTTCAATTTCAAGTTTATTCATCGCCTATTATTAAAATTATATGCATGTCAAATATTTATTATGAAAGCAAATTGGGCATTCTCGTGACTATCGTGTTAAAGCCATTAATTATTATCAACGTGACTGTTAAATGTTTACAAATGTAGATATAAGCAGTGTTCAAAAAGCACACTTAGGCATGAGGTGAGGGCAAAAAGCTTTGCCTTAAAGGTTGAACATCAATCTTGAGAGCCCGCACTGTCCCGCCTCTGGAGCATCGTGAGAGAGGTAAATCGCGGAATGTGCTCCAGTAAGCCAGAGAACAAGAACTTGCCCGTACACTGTGCCCACAAAGAATTCAATTCCATATCTCAGGAATCGAACCTTCACACTGCGGCTGTCAGCAAGACTGAGACTACCTCACTTATATTATTTGCATTATTAGGTTATGGCCCGAGGGCAGCAAAAAAAAAAAGCGCTTTGCCTTGACAATAAGCTAAGTTGACTGCTTAATGTGCTTCTAGACGTGCCTAGATGCCTTTATTTATTTTTAATTTTTTTTACTTTTTTATTTTAAAAAAACTTTTTTATTTTTTATTTTAGTTTATCAACTTTTTTCTTTTTCTAGAAGGTTTTTATTTGATTTTGATTTCAAATTTTTAAATGGTTTTATTAGTACAAAAGTCAAAAATGACTTTATCTGATAAAGGTTTAGATAAAATTTAAGTTATGGTTAGGCCTGAGCTCGGTATGATTTGGGTCAATTTCGACTCCAACTCAAAACGAAAACCAAATTAGTCGATTTTGACGAATTTCAACATAAACCAACTCACTGTAACCCTTAAACTGAACCAAACGAAATCAATTCAGTTTGGCTCGATTTGATTCAGTTAGTCATTTTGAATTTTTAGTCCAAATTGAATTTAAAAAAAAAAAAAAATTTGTCCAAGTTTTAGACCCACTTAAATTACAAGAACTATAATAATCAAATAATTTTATATGACAAGAACTTTTAACTAACAAATAAAATCAGGTTAAAAGAGATAGATCAACAGAAAATTTAAAACTTTTATTGCTTTTTTTTTATGTATTATGTAGTTGAACTGTCTGAGTATGAAAAAAATGCTAAATATAATATAATGAGCTTATGAAAGAAAATTTTCAATTCTATTACTTATCGGCAATATCATAGATTAGAGGAAATCGAGATATAGTTATGAGATTATGATTTATCTTTTAATTTTTATTTTTCCTAAATTAGAAAAATGGTAAATGTATAAGTAGGTCGGGTTGGTTCGGTTAACCAACGGTTTGCATCTTTGAATCATAACTAAACCGACTCATCATGATTTTGTTTAAAAGAAAGCAAAACCAAACCAATTACTTGTGTCAAACTAACCGAACCGACCCAAGTCGATTCGGTTTCATTGGTTTGGTCGATTTTTCTACTTTTTTTTTTCCCTTTTTGTCCAATCCTAATTAATGTACTATTTATATTATGTAATTATGATTTTAAAATTTTATCGTTGTATTGAAAATTTCGAAAGTATGTGTGAAGTTCTCATAAAATCTATTAAGCAGGACGTGTCTAGTTAAAACTATGAAAAATGTTTTAGCTTTTAATTTCGAAAAACATGAAAATCGTATTACTAACTAAATATAGAAATTATTAAGTAAATGTAGTATTTTATAATTTTAAATGTTGGACATGTATTATTTTAATTAATAAATGATTTTTAGAATGATTAAGTATTTAAAATAATAATAATAATAATAATAATAATAATAATAATAATAATAATAATAATAATAATAAGTAACTTTTTTTACCCTTAGACTCATAATGCTTGAAATTTGGCCTCCATGTTTAACCGGGTACATGACTCTGTTAGTGAATTCAATTTATTTAGCACCGAGTTGAGCCCATTATTCTCAAAACTTATTTTTTTCAAAACTCATTTTCAATTACACATTCTTCCATAAAATAATTTTCAAGTAAATTTTAAAAAAAAAAAATCTTATTTTTAACCACACATTCTTCGAAAAAATCGTTGTACCAAAGTACATTATCCCAAAATACAATATTCCAAAATCACTTAATAATTTCTTTCTTTTCATTGTTTCTTTTGTGGATTTTAAATTCTTAATTAAATAATGATATGTTTGATATAGATTTTTAGAATAAATTTTGAGAAAATTATTATTATTATTGAGAATATGTGCTGATAAAAAAGTTTAAAAAAATTTATGGGTCCATTTATAAAATTATTTAGTTTAAAGCGTGTGATCGAAAGTGAATTTCGGAAAAAAGGAATTTTGAGGAATCCCAGTAAAACAAGGGCTAATTAATTATTAAAAGTAAGATGAAATATCTTGAATTACGTAGTAATCTGTAATCACATTACTCAATGGATCTAATTTTATTTAACATTTTACACGTGGTCATAGCTTTATAAAAATTGTTTTATCGGACTTGCGTTTGTTTCCAAAATTATATTTATGGTTAATTAGCATATAACGTCATTACATTTTACTACTTTAGTGAAAAAAGTATTTTTATCTTTCATTTTTTGACATTTTCACTTTTCATTACTCAAATTGTCATTTTCATTTTCACAATTAAAAGATGTGAAATGACAAATATACCATTTTATTTAAATAAAACAAAAAGAAAATGAAATAACTAATTACAATCATAATCCTAAATTTTATTTTTTTTAAAAGTGCAAATGAGTTTCAAATAAATTTGTAAAAGGGTTACTAATGCATATTGTCACTAACTAACACTATAATTGTAAAAAAAATCCATACATTTCATTCTTTGACATTTTCACCCTTAATTACGACTTTGATTGTGTGAATCATCATTTCTATTCATTTTCGTCAAATTGCTCTGCGCAAGGACCATGCTAATTGAAAGCTCAAGAACAACTAACCAATAGGGGGTGAATTGGTTATTTGATACTTTTTCAAAAATTAACACAAATTTAAGCAAATAATTATGAATAAACAAGATAACATAAAAGTAATGTGAGGAAGGGAAAAAAGAGTGCAAACGATATAATAAGGAGGTTCGATCCAATCACGATCTACGTCCCCCATTACCAAACTTTCCGTCATGAACAAGGCATTTTCCACTATATTTGATTGACTTATGGTGCAATCCAATCTTTACAAAACTTCCGATGACTTACAATTAAGAAGCATCGATCTTTTTATACCGTTGAGATTTTCGAGATCTCAACACGACCCACAATCCAAAAAATAAGAGAATTGAAATTACAAGTGAAAAACTTCTCTCTTAAT